AGATGATGTCATTTGGGTGTGTGAGCATTAGTGAAAGGGTCTGTGCATGGGAGTCACCATATTAATGATAAAAGGAGGAACAATAATTTGGAGTCCAAGGGATCCCAAGGATGATTACACTGAAGAGAATGCATATGCACACAACCTAAGGTGATAAGGGCTTCCACAGAAGTCCAAGTCTCCAAAAGTGATAAAACTTCGCTTGCAGGAAGAGAGGGAGAGAGAGAAAAGGGCCTAGAGAAGGTTGGGCCCAACTGAGGTAAGTGTTGAATAACACACCCAAGTGGACAAGATATTCGGTAGGGATCAGGAAAGACTTCTCCACTTGAGAATCCAACCCACACAAGCTGCTTCTCTCAATAGCAGCGAGTGTGTTGAGAAGACACTTGTTTGGAAGGAGCTAACAGAAACCAGTTGTTCACATAGTGGTGTAACTACAACCCCCAAAAATGCATAAATCAGAAAACGGCTTTGACACCTCAACAAAACACAAATGGTGCTGAAGCAAGCCCAAAAGGTAGAGTGCAAAACTGAAACACAACCTATTGTGGATGAACCGAAGATAGTATCTGGACTGATGAGAAATGGGAATATGGATACAAGTGTCCACAACATTTAGCTTGGTCATCTACAGACCTGGAGGAAAAGCCCACCAAAGTATTAAAAAAGATCCCATGATAAAGTGGGGCAGATCCAGTAATTGGTTGAGGTGGGACAGATCGATCACAGGATGTCAGTCCTAGTCTTCTTGGGGATGACAAAAAGTCTGGAGTAAAAACCTGGAAAAGGAAGATGGACAAGCTCTATAGCACACTGTGACAGAAGAGTCTGAACAGCCTCGGATAGATGCTGACTGGTAGTGGGATCTTGAGGTAATGGGAAAGATACTGGTAATAGAGACAAAGGAGGTGGGAAGAGAAATTGAAGAAAAAGTCTCTCTGACAAAACCTGGATCACCCACGGGTCAGGAATAAACTCTTGACACAGGTGAACAAGATTAGACAAATCCATCCCTACTAAGCCAGAAGCCCCTATTTGCAGTAATGAGTATGACAGGAAGCTAAATGACAAACCAAAGGACCTCTGGAAGAAGGAATTGGCTAAGGATGGGAGTGAAGGACAGAAAACAGATATAGAGGGTGGCATAGGAGCAGGCTGAAACAAACGAGCAACCAAAGAAAAAAGGGTTGAGTGTTGTCTCATAGATGCTACAAGTGACACCAAAGATTCAAGAATATCTCCAAAAAGAGACCTATGGAGAAAGAGAGCCATCGTCAGGTTGCAAAGATATGTGGATGATAAACAAACCTGAAACAAGACAGTATTTCTTCCAAAGATATCCCAACAGCAAAGAAACCACATGTGAAGGGACAGGGTCAAGGAGGATAATAGTGCAAATGTTGTGGTAATGAGGGAATGGGTATCCTCCAAAAACCTCTCAGGGAATCAGTGGAGAGCCTCAGAAAGAAGGTGTATGGATGAAAGGTACTGTAGGAGAGATATAAGGGTAATATGAAGGCAGGAAAACTGGGCTTGGGATAAACATATAGGATTATCAGGATCTGCCCCCATACAGGCAGAAGTGACTCCAGCTGCTGGGAGTCGAGAAAGGGATGATTGCCTAATGGTAAGCCAATGCATAATGATCAGAAACCCGTGGTGGACAAGGCATGCTGGAACCAGTTCTCAATTGAGAAATGAAATGCTCAGCGTGTACCCTGATATTGGGAGAAGCAGGGAAGACAAAGTAGTTGGACAATGGGGCAGCGTAAAACATGGAAGGGACAGGATATAGATAAAATGTAATAAGTCTCAGAAATTATTTTCATAAAGGCTGAGGGAGGCCTGGCTGATTCTTCAGGAGAGGCATGGGTGTGCACAGCATATGTAGGAGGCAGGAAAAGGCTGTCAAACTCCTCCACATCATGAACAAGTTCTACAGGGACAGGAGGAGCATGAACATTGTTGGGAGAAGTGGGCCAACTCATGTAAAGATCAATCTCCCGACGCATGATGGCCAAAAAATCCTCAGCCAAGACCCCCATTCCTGAAGCCTGTGTTACAACACTCAAAGTAATAGAAATGGATGTTTGTTTGTTTGTAATTAAGCACAAAGCTACACAATGGGCTATCTGTGCTCTGCCCACCATGGGTATCAAAACCTGGATTCTAACATTGTAAGTTCGCAGACATACCACTGTGCCACTGGGGGCAATAAAAATGGAAGCTAAAATTGTGATCCGAAATTCCAAGCCAATAATCGGCCATGAAGAAGTTGAAAACTGAGAAAAAGAAGAAAGAAATGACAAAGTAAAGGTAAGTTGATTTAGCAATAAAGTACAGTGAACAAACTGTAGAAAAAAGAAAGAAATTATCGAGTGAAATCAGCACAAATTCAAAACATCTGTACTAAACAACTGCCTAACGAGAATTGATGTTTAGGATGAATCGAATAGAGGGAGTAATGTTCATCAGTATGCTGTGTCAAACTCTTATTGGTGGAGGATTATCGCATGATAATTTAAATGTGAAGACGCAATGAACCACATTGATCATGAGGTAGGTGGAAGTTTTAAGGCTTGTAGCATCGGAAAAAGAATTTTGCATATAGAAGACAGCACTGAACTAGAAAAACTATTATGTGAGAAGAGATATAGTACCGTATGGGAAACAGATTCATGTCAATCCTAGAGAAACAAATATAGTACAAATTTTACTGTTTGGCAAGAAAATTGGAATGATACTAGATGAACTCCTTGCAGACATTAAAATGATTCACATGGTGGAAATCAAAGTGCTATATAAAATATTGAAATGTCAATAATATCAAAACAGTCTTTAATTATCAACTATTAAGATTTTTTTTTACTTACATCATCAAGGGGAAAACTTAAAAGATAATTAACAACTTTATAAGTACACAACATCATAAGCTTTTAAACAAAGACTAGTTGATAGAAATGAAAGTTTATAAAGAACCCTTTAGATTGATTCATATGTTTACATTTTACAGTTCAAGTTGAAAGAAATTGCAACAACACAAGTGTGTACTGAGAAATTAATATATGAAAGAAACTAAAGTTTAGTACAAGGTAAGTAGTGTTTAAGACACATGCAATGAAAGATGGACTTTTGTTTTCCCTTTTCAGTGTTTCCTATTTAGCTAGAACTACTTGTATTTAAACAGGTGCCCTGTTCATATAAATAGGATAACAACTTAATGGTGTTGTATATTTTTAGACTGTTTATTAGTCCAATTCCCAATTTCTGGCAAACACAGTTAAATGAGCAATTTATTAGCAATCAGAACTTGTTTTGAGCAATCAAAGAATGATGAATATTAACTTGCTGGAAATTGTTTTCCTATTAATCCATTCTTATCCTAATGAATACTGTTTATGCTTGTAGCTTATAATAAGAAAGAAATATTATGTTAAATCTACACTATTATTTAGCATAAGCAAGGTAAGAATGAACAGCAGGCATCACACTGTGACTAGTTATGTAACCAATAGTGAATGTATAGGCCACATTCTCACATTGGGAATTGTGTATATGTCACACACAGTTATGGCAACTAAAGCAATATTAGCTATCATGTTGTGTGTGAGTTCAGTTGGTATGTATCTGAAGCTGAACAACTTTGTTTGAGTTATTACAAAGCTACTAAGGCATTTTAAAGTGACAGTCAATTCTATTTGTTGATAACAAATAGCCTAAGAGTTGGCAGTGAATGTTGCTGATCAATTACTTTCTTTCTGGTTATCAGTGTAAAATTAGGTACAGTTACAGGTAGCCTTAGCATAACTCAAAAACAAAGAAACAAATATGATGCCTCCATGGTTGAAAGGGTGAGTATGGCTTGTGGCAATGTGAATAGAACCACCATCTGTGAGTCACAAGGTACTCACCTTAATCAGCAGGCTATTCAGGCCTGAAGCTGAACAAACTTGAATTAATAAAAAAAAAAGAAATAATAATGGCAATATTTAAATTACTTGGCCAGTTGTAATAATCAAAAATGGTAATAACTTGAATCACCAATTTCAATTAGTTGATTATTTCTGTCAGTTGATCATGACACTATTCAATTATACTGAACACACTTGAATTAATTGAAAATAGTAATGGGTATGATTGGTGGAAAGTGAATTGAACCCACCACTCTCAAATCAGCATATTCACCAGGCAATTCCAACCTATATACTTTTGAATAAACTTGAATTAATCTAAAAAATATCAATGATGAATCATAATGGTAATGTTTTGATTACTTGTATATTTTGAATAATAAAAAATAGTAATAATTGGGACTACTAGTTTCAACCAGTTGGTCAATCACTATACTAATAAATGAAGGAGGCAAAACTGAATAAATCAAAAATAATATATAATGAGAAATCAAAATGGCAATATTTTGATTACTTAGAGAGTTGGAATAATCAAAAAAACAGTAGTAATTAGAAAAACTAATTTCAATTACTTGATTATTTTCATGACATTAAATAATTTTTAGGTAACTGATTATATTGATTACATAAGTTAATTATTTAGCTCCAGTAGCAACTATAAAAGTGGTAAGATTAGAAATAAAGTATGAATTGTTTGGGTATCACATATTTCAAACTCACTATGTAATTTACCACATTGATTTAAAAAGGTCTCACTTTTATTGCATATATGGATTGGCATCTAAGACTGTAAGTGAAGGCAAAACTTTTTCCTGAGTATTCTGACACCAAACTTCAGAAAGTTTATTTTCAATTTTCTGTTTTTCTTAATTTTATGCTTATTGTATAGTTTATTTGAGGTATTCTTTTCTTAATTATTTTTTCATGTATTTGCTTTTTTTATATAGCCTACTCATGGTTACTTAACACTCCAGGCTCTTTTTATTTTTGGCTGTTTCTATAATTAAGTTTTCATTCACACCATGAACAATTATTCAGCAATCTCTAAATAATGATGTTGAATAATTAGCTTGATATAGAGAAACTAACCAACATCAGATCCACCCTGTCTTTCAGTCATCCACTGACCAGATGTCCAGAAGAATTTGGGATCTCGAGACACAAGTCGAGAATAGGCCGCAACAAACACAGGATGAGTGAGACCTAAGGTCTATTAATAATACATTTTCACTTGATAGTAATATTCACAACTATAAAAGAATGGTTTACTAAAGTATAATGAGAAAAATCTGACAAATTCATTTGTGTATATTGAAAGATATTTGATTACTTAGTGCTAAAAACTGTATTTCTGTTACTCGAAATACCATGAAACAACAAAGTAGAAACAAATTAATTTTATTGATCAACATTACCAAGAAAACTCATAACTAATGTGTCAACTGAAAAAAACAATAAAAACAGCTAATTAAAATTTCTCATACATTCAGGGATGGACTGGACTAAAATTTTACCAGGAAAAAAAACTAGAAGGGGAACACAGGTTTGTTATAAAAATAACAAAACTGTGTAACTTTTCAAGGGAGCCCACTGGAATTTTTCCTGGAGTTTTGTTAGGCCAGTCTGCACCTGCAAACATTACAAGTTTTCTATCTAAGAATTGGAAATGACCAGAATGATTAGATTCTGTGTCAGTAAGTACTGGTACTTATGTAGATACACAACTTCTGACTCAATAAGAACAAGCGTCCACAGTATGACAGCCACTGTGTCAATAGGTACAGTTTTTAACTTTGTTTTATACTATGATTATGAGATTACTCTAATTCTGGATTCTTTATTAGTATTTAGGAAAAACTTCAGGACACACTTTATTGATGTTGTTGTATAAGTGCAAAGCTACAGAATGGGATATTTGCTCTATGTCAACCATGAAAAATCAAACTTGGATTTTAGCACTGTAAGTCTGAAACCTTAACTGCTCACACAGGGGGAATATGTTATTGAAAATGGGTGGAAAGTATATATGTGAAATGTAAATTATCTGTCATTAATCTTAATATAATGGATGTAGCATGTATGTTAATATCTATGTATTTAACGAAAACTCCTGTGCCATCTATTGAAACAGAAATCCATAAAAAAGTTCACACTTTAGGTATTCAAGATTCAGACAGTTAGAAAAATGACTGTGTTACGTGCAACAACCATTTCTTTATAATAGAACATAATGTTAAAAAAAAGTACTCTCTTCACAACTAGAATATGACTTTCACTATGGCTGTATGTGAAGGTTTGATTATATCTTTATTGATGTAATTTTTAAATGTAGTACTGAAAAACTGGAGTTCTTAAAAATATTATATTTTTCAATAAATGGTACCACTTTTAATATATAAAAACATTACAGTTTATATCACTAAAATTTATAAAAATGTTGAGCTCTGTACATTGAATCATTTTGATGCAATGAGTGGTGTATGACAATCCAAACACTTTTCCCATGCAGTACTTCCCAGAAAAAAATCCTTTGTTAGAAAATGTTCACTTTTTTCTAAATTTTTTTCAATGAGGTATGAAAATTACAATTAGTAATTACTAGAGCAAACAGCCACCTGTAGGGTGGCATTTCTGCTAGTATTATTAACACCAACATAAAAACTATGAATGGAAACTAACCTCTATAGTTTTGGCAGCACCATCTGTCATAGCTAAAGGGCAAGTGTACAGTCCTGAGGAGGGAGCGTACAAGTAAAGTTTGGCCATCTGATACAGGCGACTAAAAAGAAAAATTATAAAATTACAGTGAATAGCAGAAAATGTAGTGTATAATGTCATGTTATGATGCAACCTAACCTAACCCAACAAAGTCCAATAAATGATGCATGGTCTAGTTTGAATCATTTCAATGTCATCAATTAGAAAATGTGTAAAAGACTGACTAAATTAAAATTTGTATTCTGTGTACATTTATACACTGCCTTCAAAATAATTCATAAAATTCACAGTAAAAACTATAACTATGTTAATGAATAGGTTCTAATAAACCTCTTTTTCTGGTAATTATGGTTTTAGATTTGAATAATGATAACAACACTCAGGTGTTCTGAAATAAGCTACACAAAGCTAAAATCTTATGTGGTAGTTGTGCGATTGTAACTCTTTTGGGATAGAATATAAGTAAAATAATCAGAAACCTAAATCACTGAAGAAGGTTTGCAGCCAGTTTCCAAACCATTAGGTAGTTGTTTTTTTTCTTAATCTTTTGGGCACATGTGTAATGTTCAATTTTAAAAACTCACAATTTTTAAAAAACAACGATGGCTTGAAGTTCTTTAATATGTAAATTGGTGTTTTGATAATTGTATAAATGTTATTTTTTGCAAAACATTACACTCCTGAGGATGATGCAATAGTATACATCAAAACTTGTAGAGTGTATGAGATTGTTTTCCAGTTTCATCAAGGTTTTTTTTACCACTTTTTATCCTGTACAGTAAGTTATTGTTTTTTTAGTAATTTGGAGACTGGAAACAATCTAATTTTTATATAATTGTGTACAAAATAATCATTGTTTTTTTAAAAATTGTGAATTTTTAACATTAGGCAGTTATTTAAATCCGAGCTCAACAATGATCCCACTGAATTTATAAGTAAGTGCAAGTTTAGCTAAAGACACTCGAGAATCATATAAATAAAACAAGATGTGATCATTCACACTCCATATCAATTGCTTACTTCACTGTTGGGAGTTTAATGGTGCCAAACTACCAGTACTAATTAGCACCAAAAATCATAAAAAATGAATGTAAAATATAGTAAAAAAGTATAAAAATTTAAACACAACAAAAACCTTTTTTAAGCAAGTGAGGTTTAAAAATTAAATAAAATTAAACAGACCAATGGCTTGTAAAAAAGTTAAAAACATGATTAATCTGAATGGTGTCACCATTGTCAAAGACATTGTTCAACATCAAAGACAAACACTGAGACAAAATATATCTGAAATGATGATGCTACTGGCAAATGTAGCATCAGCATGAAAGCAAAATGTGGGTGATTGATTGATTATTATTATCTTGTGTGTACCTTCTTACAGGAGACATTTCTGAGACCTACTAATACTGTCATCCTGTTGGCATTTTTATTACAAAAGGAAGATGAGTTGTGTGAGGATAAGTTAATGAGGGTGTGGTACTGCTTGTTGACCAGCATACATCCAAAATAACTGTGCCACTCAATACACTACTGGAGACTGTTGCCATTGGTCATACAATCATAATTTGTTTATTTTACCTGTCATCAGTATAGGATTTCAATTAAGCAGACAATGATGATCTTAGCCAGCAATCTACATATCCCTACTTTATTCTCAGAGACTTTAATGGACACAGTCCCCTCTGGGATGCTGCTCATGCTGAAAGGAAGGATCATTCTTTGGAGTGTATTTCCTCAGATCACAACCTTTTTCTCTTCAATTTTGGATTGTATGCCTATTTTCATGCTCCAAGTCAGTTTTTACTGCCATTGATCTATTCATTTGCTCTCATTTCCTTCTACCTTGTTTTTCCTGGGAGATGAGCAATGACATCTTGGGCAGTGATCATTTTCCAACCATTCTAAGAGAGATGGACTATAATTAGTACCATCCAACTCTTTTTTTTCCCAAAGTAGAAGCTGGAGCAGACTGATTGAATCTCCTTCACCACTTTCTAAGAGCTTGACTCTAATATCATTAACCCTCTTTCTATGGACAGGTCAAAGAGCACAAGTCAAAACATTATAGTTATTTTCAAATGTAATTAAACAACTTTATTATCATTGTATGTCAATAAAGGTGGCATCACAAAATAGTTTATAATTGAGACTGTAATATTATATACGTTGTAATTTCTTAATTTGAAAGAAAATATTTAAAAAAATGCCAAATAAGTTTTTTGTGTGTCATATGGCATGCCTTATTAATCAGTTTATATTTTATTACACCTACCATACTATGTCTATAGTGTACTCCATTCCTTTGAAACCTCTTGTCTACTCATGCCTCTTCTCTTAAGTACATGTTTATAAAATAAACAGAAAGAGCACATTCTAACCTATGTAAATCTGACAGTTGTTTGTAATTGGCTTAAAATGGAAACTTGTATTTGACTGGTGATATTGAAGTCTATTCTTTAAATCAGTGCTCTGAACAGAAATGAGATTGTTTTAACCCACACATAGCTTAGTGGAAAGCCTTACAAATTACAGTGGTTTTATGCGTGTTAATATAGTAATGTGGTACTTTTTTTAATAATATGCATCTTTGAAAGCTACAAAAATTAATTTGTCTTCCCCTTCCAATTGAGAGAATAAATGAGGTTTATGGTGAGGCTTAGCAAGTATGAAACACGAGTACAAATAAATTTTATAGCACTGTAAGTCCTAGAAATCATTGTTTTCCATATATATATATATATATATATAT